AGGAAGAGGCTGATGCAGAGGTTCTTGTGGATGGTGGTGCGGTCCGAGGGCAGCCCCCGCAGGCAGCAGAAGGCCGAGATGCAGACGCCGAGGCAGAGCAGGGCCACCACGATGCCCACCCAGGAGATGACCGAGAGCAGCACCTCGTTCAGCCGCCCCTCGTACTGACCCCCCAAAACCAGGGAAGGGAAGTGAAGGGGCGCCCGTCACCCCGCCACGTCCCCAAACTGTGCGCCCAAAACCGTCCCCACACTCCTCGAGGGTGTCCCCAAACTCCTCGTGGACGTCCCCAAACTCCTCGGGGCCACCCCCAAAGTCCCCAAACTCCTCAAGAGTGTCCCTAGGCTCCTGGGGGGTGTCCCCAAGCTTCTGAAGGGTGTCCCCAAATTCCTCAGGGATGTCCCCAAACTCCTCAAGAGTGTCCCCAAACTCCTCGGGGGTGTCCCCAAATTCCTCAAGAGTGTCCCCAAATTCCTCAGGGGCGTCCCCAAATTCCTCAAGAGTGTCCCCAGACTCCTCGGGGGCATCCCCAAATTCCTCAGGGGCATCCCCAAATTCCTCAAGTGTCCCCAAACACCTCAGGGGAATCCCCGAAGTCCCCAAACTCCTCGGGAGCGTCCCCAAATTCCTCAAGTGTCCCCAAACTCCTCAGGAGCGTCCCCAAACTCCTCAGGCGTGTCCCCAAACTCCTCAAGGGTGTCCCCAAACACCTCAATAGTGTTCCCAAACTCATCAAGAGTGTCCCCAAACTTCTCGGGGGCGTCCTCAAAGTCCCCAAACTCCTTGGGGGCATCCCCAAACTCCTCAGAGGCGTCCCCAAACTCCTCAGGTGTGTCCCCAAACTCCTCAGGGGTGTCCCCAAACTCCTCAGGGGCGTCCCCAACCTGCCGGGGGGGCCGTCCCCCGACTCACGCTCTCGCGGTGGGCCATGAGGACGGCGAAGTTGGTGAGGTGGCTGCAGGCGCAGGAGGTGTGGGTGGCGTTGGTGTCGAGCAGGCGGCAGCCCTGGGTGGACCAGTGGCCCGTCATGGAGCGCTCCGAGTAGTTCCAGAAGGAGCAGTTGGCGTTGAAGTGGTTCTTGGCC